CAAGCAACCAGCTCTTGCAGATTATAGCACCAGGCATTCATTCTGGACCCAGGAAACACCGCAAAAGCTGACCTGCTTGGGCACCTGGCGGCTGGAATCTACACGTCGTGGCTCTGGAACATGCCAAGAATTTTCGGAGGAAAGTATTCGGAGTTGAGGGTTCAAGGCGGTGCTTCGAGGTGAATCCCTAAACCCTAAACCCTAAAGGTTCAGGGGCACGCAGAGTTCAGGGCACTGTGGAGGCCTAGGGCGCCTAAAACACCCTCAACCCCTAGATGGAAGTCACCAGCCCAACTTTAGGGTTTAGGGTTTTGGGGTTTCAGGGTTTTGGGTTTAGGTTTTAGGGTTTTGGGTTTAGGGTTTTGGGTTTTGGGTCTTGGGTTTAGGGTTTTTGGGTTTAGGGTTTTGGGTGAAGCCCAAACTCGAACCGTTGAGCCCTCAGGTGCCAGAAGCACACTAAACCCTAAACCCTACTTTGGATATACTGTGGCCACAAACCCTAGATCATACACCACAAAAGCCTGAACCGTTGCAAAACACAGTCCTGAATGGTTCGTGCCAAGAGCTCGACTGATCGAAAGCTGCTTCTCGCTGCGCCTTTGGCAGCTCCTCCAATCACATCCCAACTGGTGGTAAGCAACTACGGCCTATCATGATAATGATGATGACAGTTACAATGAACACAGCAGTGATTTTCAGACTGGTGGTAGGTCCCCATCTATGGCGAATACTTGCGCCTGACATAGTGATTCGATGATGACGCTTATAATGAAACACAGCGGTGATATTCAGACTGGTGGTAATCGAAATAAACATTGCAACATTGATGACAATCATAACAGCAACGCAGTTCGCGCTGGGTCCTCTGTCGAACACCTAGTTTGCTTTTAGTAGGTGCCTAGTAGGATCCTTGGGATGTTGAAGCAAGCTTACGACAGGGCGCTTAGAGGATGCTTAGGAGCGCCCGTGAGCTGGCAAGTGTGAAGCCCATGAAGTTACGTTCTGCACCCGAAGAAGCAGTATAGCGAAAAAGAAGCCGACCCTAAACCCTAAACCCTAAACCCTAAACCCTAAACCCATGCTGTGAGTATAGCGAAAAAGAGGCCGATACAATGGACCCCTAGATGCCTAAACCCTCAAGACTGGGTCCACGAATCCTCCAACCTCCGCTGAACAAGTCTGAGCTTTCCTAAGCCCTAAAACCTAAATTACCAACATCTCTCGGCAATTTCGGAGTTGATGGTCCCTAAACCCTCTAAGCCGTTCACATCTACGTCGGACTCGAGAGTTGGTATGCATCCGTCTACAACGTATCAAGCAACCATACTCCCTCCCTCTGGCTGTTCAGGGGTTGAGTGGTGTAAGGTTCAGGCTCATTCGGGTTTTAGGGTTCGCCATACTCCCTCCGGCTGTTTAGGGGTCTAAGGTTTAGGCTGTTTTGGGGTTTAGGGTTTAGGGTTTAGGTTAAGGCTGTTTTGGGGTTTCCCGTTAACTTCTACTCCCTACAGCTAGCCTTGCGCCGGGTTCTCAGAGCTGACCAGCCAAGTCCTCCTCACAGGCAAGCTCCCAAACCTGCAAAGCACCGCCAAGGGGTTCCGCTTAGGATTCAAAGCTTCAGATTGTTAGATACGACCCTGTAGGGCTGTTCTAATCCACCGCCCGGGCTTGAGCAACCGATCTTCACTGTGGACTGGAACGATTCTTGAACGGCGTAAACATTCCCTGGAATCCCAGGTGGCCCAAAGTTGCGTTCGACACTGACATGGCATTGAATGTTCCGAGACGGATCATGGCGGGTCTCTCACAGAGGGGACATGGATTTTGGGATGACTTAACGCCTTCCGTCGAGGATTCAAGAGGCGGCTATGGTCCTGTAAAGTTTCTGCACCCAGAGACTCCAACACCCCTTAGATAAGGAATATGCCTTAAGTCTTACTAGGTATCCTTTTCTAACTTATGCTATACTCCTTCATTGATGCGTTTTGGAGTCTTTGGGCATGATCTGTCTCATGGGATGGAAATGCTTGGACGATGCCAGGCAGGCCCACCTCTGTCGATAGTCGTATAAAAAAACTCTGAGAAGTCGCTTGAAGGATTGTGATTCGGATACCATGACTCGGCTTTGGGATATCTGGGGGCTACCCATTGATGGCGGACCACAAAACCCAAATTACATATTTTCGGGTATCAAGTTGCTTTGACTGGCTATAGGGGGGTGACCTATGGTAGAGGCACTCAGCAGCGGGGTCCAAGATTTTGCCTGCAAGGCATCCGTCCATAACCGTTCTGCAGTCTACAGCTAGGTCGTTACATCGCAGCTGTTCATAAAATGGCACAGCTGTGTTATTCTGCGAGCACACACCGGCCCGTTCTGAAACCTGCACCGGCAGTCCTTGTAGTGCTCGTGCTTGACATCGGTGTCCTGCAAGTAGACGTGTAAATTCCCGCCCCGATTGCACAAAGGGAGAGAGCGAGAGTGAGATAGAGTTTGACCCTCGAGAAGGCCGAAGCTATTCATGAGCTGTGGTCTCTTCTGCTGTTAATCTGCAATTGGCCATCACACCTTCATTGGCACGTACGTAGCTTTGGCGTTCCAAAACATCTTTCCGCATGGTCCCTAAACCCAAGGCCCTAAACCCTAAAGTTCCTAAAGGACAGCTTGGTTAGCCAGCGCAAATCTGCAAGGCTCGCTGAGCCCCTGTTTCAAACCCTCCGCCCAGCATGCCACACCTACCATCCCTCAAGGCTCCAAGCTCTTCACAGAAGGAAGGTTTAGGGGTTTAGGGTTTATGGTTTGTTTCATTTGTTTCAAGGTGATCCTATGCAAATGTAGATATCAACAACTCGACTGGCTTGTGGGCCTCATTTGGATTGTTGGTTACAGCATAAAGACCTTCTAAGCAAGCACGCAATAGAAAGCACACATTCTACACAAAACCCTAAACCCATGCGCAATCGCAGAATCAATTGCGCTTGGCTCGAAACCGCCTTCGGGACCTCGGAAAGAATACGTTATGAACTCTTAGGTATCATCACGACCCCAAACAGGGAATCCATGGGAATCCTAAACTGAGGGTATCAAGCCGAAGCCACGGCAAGTTGATATGCTTGGCTGCCCTGAACCCTAAACACCCCTAAACCCTGGAATCGAAACCCTAAACACCCCCGAAACCCTCTCCACCGGAACCCTCAACTCCCTAAACCCAAAACCCTAAACTCCCTAAACCCTATACCCTAAACCCTAAACCCCGGAACCCTCAACTCCCTAAACCCTGAACCATGCCTCTGTCAGGTTGCGCCATGGTGGCACTCCTCGGTCATTGTGGAACAAGTCTATGTCGAGTCTATATTAGATACAATTTACCTTTACCTATAGTCTCCATTGTAGTTCCTTTTTGGGGTTACATTTTAGGATCCTCAGTATAAAATTGGCTGAACCAAAAAAAGGAACTACAATGGAGACTATAGGTAGTCTCCATTGTAGTTCCTTTTTTGGCTTTACCCAATTTATAGTTAGGGCCCTATATGGTGACCCAAACAAGCAGAACCAAAATGGAGACTCTAGGTATTGGATACAACGTATAGGTTTCAGGGTGTAGCAAGCTTTAGGCCTCAAGGTCGTGCGATCTTTAGCTTTCGGATGCTTTAGGCCCTGAACCCTAAACCCTAAACCGTATTTCGATGTCAGGGCTTCAGAATCGTCCACCGCATCTTGTACAGAGCCTTTTACGACTCTAATCTCCCAGCTCGGTTGAAGGTTTAAGGTTTAGGGTTCTTAGATCGAACTCAAACTCCAAAGTTGTGCCGAGTTGATTGGCTTAGGGTGCTACCTATAGAGTCTCCATTGTAGTTCCGTTTAGCATTGGCTTAGATGCGTTTAGCCACAAAGGGAACTACCACAAAGACTGTAGGTAAGGTGCTCAGACTAGAATTCGACTTGAGGGTGTCAGGGTGTCACTGGGAGGCGTTAGGATTTGCACTGCCAGTTCTCTGCAACCCATAAACCTGACCGCCGAACCTACACTTCCGAGATGTGGTCTTTCCGAGTCCACGACCGGACACTTCCCGCAGCGACACCTCTCGAAACGAGAACGGGCACCAATAATTCAATAAGGATTCAAGTGCAACTCCCAGAGAACCTCATGGATGCAAACAACATGCGAAACCCAAGCAAACTGGCTTCGCGGAGACCTGGTACTGCCAATTGCGATATACCAATGCAAAGCAGGTGAGCCGAAGAACATAAGCTCCCTTCGAGGATGTAGGTAGACAGCAATCGTTAAAAACCAATTGAACTGAAATTCCATTAAGGGCAAGTTCCAGTTTCGAGCAGCTCAAAGCAAGTCGGTTTTCCCGTGTTGAGTGGTTGCGGTGCTCACAGTATAAAGGTATACACTTACACCCTAAACACGCTCCGATCGTCGGGTCGGGTCAAGAGACGTGATAAGCCCCCACGAAAACAAAGCCTCGGGAGAGTGCGAAAAACAACCACTAGAGCAGTCTGTGCAAATTTTCATGGGAGCAAGGGTGGCAGAAAAAGCAACTAGATAGCTGCGGAAACCGCAGCGTAAATGCTCGCAACCACAGCATTGATCACTACCAAAATTGTGCTTAGACCGGAACATTTAATGGTAGCGAAAGCAACGTCAACCAATTCGCAACATTCATCTATGCAGAATGAACCCGGACCTGGCAGATCCAACACCTGCCACCCGAGGAAAGCAGTAAGCCCTCATTTCAAAGCTCCAAGCGTGAATCCCTCACCCAGAAACTGGAAGCCCCAAGCCCAACATCATGATGACAGCAGGCCTAACAGCAAGAGCAACGATCATCTGTTTCTCGGCAATCTGCTGCTGGTTAAGACTGTAGAGGACTGAAGCCATGGAACAGTGATGCAAAGAGTAATCGCCCTAGCAGTAGCAATGATAGCTCTAGGCATGACAGGAACAATGCGGAACAAGGGAAAGGTATCACCGGTAGCCTATTGCATTCTGCATGGCTCAGTCTTCGCCTGATGTAACATCAAGCAAGATTCCGTCAGCTTCTGCACGCGCTGAGCGGAGCCAGACTATACTGCCTGTCCATGCTGTCCATGCGATAGCACTGAGGCCGGCGCACAGCAGAGCAAGAAAACTACCGGTAGTGAAAGAAACCATCGCCAAAATCACCGGAAACGCCACAGGGTAGAGCATCAGGATCGGCAGGGCCGCCAAAGCATGGACCATAATGCCAATCACAACGATCATGATGAACGGCAGAAGCATCACAAAACCAAAGGTGTCACCGAGACCAGAACGGTCCTCTCCGGCTACGGATGCGACTATATCGTATTATGTATATATATATATACACATGCATCATTTTCTATAAATATAAATTATATAACAAGTGTGTGTGTGTATATATATATATGTATATGTATGTATCATTGTAAGGTTTCCAAGTACCAGTATCGTCTTGTCCCTCGAGCACTGCGAAGACAGCGCGGCAAGCCTTCACGTGCCCTTGATCCGTCAAGAAGGTTTTATCTAGCCCTCCAGGTACCTACTATATAGGGCCCTAGGGGCTCTAGTACCCTATATAGTAGGTACCTGGGAGGTCAGGGTTATATCTCCGAATTCATCTCAAGTCTGCGAGTTTATGGTTCGCGGTGCAGCATTCCTGCTGTACCCAGCGGCTCCAAATAGCCCAAAGTAGGTTCTATTTGTAGGCGCTAGACCCCGAAGTGGGCAGTTTTTGAATACTTGTAGCCCCAGGGATATATCATCCATCCCCTTAAGCCCCGAACCCCTAAACTCTTAAACCCTAAACCCTTAATGAACCAGCTATGAAGCTCCTTCGGGGAGTTTTTCTGGAGGGTCCAAGGAGCTTCGCGGATTCAGAACTCTGAGTGCAAGGCCCAAAAACCTCGAACCCTTGTAGCATAGGGGAAGACTACGGATTAGGGTTTAGGGTGGGTAATTTTGTTATACTGTAACTATCATGAGGAACCCCAGATAGTGTTGGTAATGATTTAAGCCCCCGTGCTAACAGTCGAACCCTGACAATCAGTCCCCCGCCCTTTTGTCATCTTATAACCAGGATCCTAACACTAAGGATCCGACCAAAACTCTTTAGAAAGCCGAGCCCCAGGGGGGGTTCGAGTCCGCGTCCTGGCAGCCGCACACCCCGGAGTGGCAACCTTGCACGCCGGAGTCGCAGCCTTTCGCCGCATGGTGTGCATGGTGACAGCCTCCACAGTTTAGGGGGTTTAGGGTTTAGGCGTTTAGGGGTTTAGGGGTTTAGGGTTTAGGGTTTCGGGTTTGCGGGGGATCTCTTATTGGAGACTAACAGTGTGGGGCAACAGTCTTGCTTAGAGAGGTACTGATGTTCGACTTACGAGAGATCGGAGTCGCAGCCTCGTGCCCCGGAGTCACAGCCTTTCGCCGCGTAGTGGGCGTGGTGACACCCTGCAAAGATCAACTACCTAGGCACCAACCTCAGCCACTTACCTATACATAACCATCCCGTTGCCTGCCTGCCTACCTCGGACCCTATAACCCTAAACCCAAACTGCCTGCTTGCCTACCTGTACCTGCCTACCCTCCTTCAAGAGACGACTCCCATAATCTCACTGCCCTCAAACCCTCAAGTCTTGAGTCTAAACCTTCAAACTAACATAAACCCTGGTAAACCCTAGACCTCAAACCCTCAACCTTCCAACTCTAAAACCCAAAACGGCCCCTAACCCTCAACATGAGGTTTAGGGTTTGAGGTTCCTTGAGCACCACTTGCATGACGATGGTGGCATCCACGGGTGCCCGTAGAGGACTTGCTGCAGCCCTGGCTACCTGTCAAGAGTGTGTACGGTTTGAAGTTGCACGCTTTGGGCTTTAGCGCTTGGGGCTTTAGCGTCTTCACAGTTGGGAGCTAAAAGGTTTAGGCTCCAGCGTTGTCGAATTTACCAAGGGTGCAGCACATTTGGAATTGAGGGATAGCGCCGCTTAGCTTCTGCAGACCTATGGCGGGAATAACTACTAATACCGTTCATGCCCCCAAAACGTGATTGAAATGTGAACGAGGTCACTGTGCTACAGCTTTTGAAGGAGCCTGACAATTCTGATAAATGAGCTTCAAACGTGCTCGGGATGGGTTAGGGTTTTGGTCTTAGGCTTAAAGTCTAGCTCAGTTGCCTGCATGAGACTGCTGCGTGCTGGCATGGCCAGTGAGAAGTGCAATCTGAATAAATGCAATGATATGTTTCGTAGTCTTCATAAGTGTAATCATTGTATAGCTGACTTCGCTCATTTGTACTAACTTGTAAAGACATCTTGAGAGTCTTATGTATGACGAAGGCAGCCAGCCGTGAAATGCCTAAATCCAGGGTTCCAGACAACGGCAAGAACCTTAGACAATGACACCATTGTCGACCCTCCCGATCAATCCGTAACCCCTCTCCAGCGGCTTCGTTTCTGAAAATTTCACAGAGTGGCCTGTGTGTAGACTTCGATGCTGCTCTTGCTCATCCTCTGTGCAGCCACTGCTCCCTGTGTGAATACTTGTGTCTCCATCATCGTCTGAGCATCCACTCGTCCCACTTGACAGCCTCCGTGGGGATATCTTCAGTGACTGAACTCTCCCAGAAATCGCTTGAGATGGTCCTTGATCCATTCCATATGTCATGAGACTCCAGGAAGTCAGAGTTGGTAAAGCTTCGCCATCTACATGGTGCTTCTGCAGGATTCTTGTGACCTCATCTAGAGGCAACTGTGGGCCTTCCGATAGCCCACCACAATGGACACGCTCATGCTCTAGTACTTACCAGGTAAAGTGTCGAACCCCCTACATCACGACACCAAGCCGAAGACAGCTCCCCTTCGTGGTTTCCTACTTACTTGCCCCACTAAACCCTAACTTACCCCAAGCCGTGGTTCTTTCTCCAGGGAGCCTCTGCAGTTAGGCGAGAGTACGAGCAGAAAAGCTATGGCGGCCTGAACAATTAGAATAGTGCTCTTTAAATTTTGCGGATAGTATACTAAGCTATCGTAGGGGCTATAAGGGAATATTTGACTAGTATTATTCAGTACTCATATCGCTCAAACTTGAATGTGCCAGGGCACTTCAGGGAGGCTTCGCTCGTAGCCGGCTTCAGCCAACACTCCAGCAACCCATTCTTGCACCGAAGTCTCGTTCAACCGCAGCATTTCCTCATAGGTAAGGGATCCCTCGCTCTCCTGGCACGTGTAGGGTCTAGGGTTTAGGGCTGGTTTCCCAAAGCAAGGCAATAGGCAATAGGCCCTAGGCCGTGGGTAAAGGGGATGCTGTCCTTTTGGAAAGTATGATCCAGGGTCTCATCAGCTACTGCAGGAATGGACTTTGCTTTGGTGTCAGTCAAACCTTGCGGTGATCTACAAGCCATTCGGGACGTCAACAGTCTTTCTGTCCTGCTGGTCTCCAAGCATACCCATGACGCTACGGATGTTACGGGGCCAAGACAACATGCAAACCAACGCCGTACGCCTGCTTGGCGTCGCATGCTGCATGGATATCGGGTAAGCCTACATTGAAAATCAGGCCTTAATCCTCTAAGATAAGCCTATGCTGCCCTAAACCCTTCATGACCCACGTCCTCCTGATCGAAAGTCTCACAGAACAGCAGTGTGCTTCTGCCAGAGCTGTCTTCAGCATCCGGTACTGGCAATGTCGTCGTCGTTTCCAGATCACAAGCATCGGCTGCCCAGGTGTAGCCGGAGTCACAGCAGCAGTACTCCTGCAGGTTCGACACTGCTAGGGTTGTATATGTATATACATAAGAATACACGTGCACACAGATGTTTATACTCACATTTATACGGGCACCTGTGTATCCATTTCGCTTCGACAATCTACCCTTCATAATATCGTAGCCTCGTAAGCTCTCCAGCCTGCGACTTTTAGCTTGCCCTCGATACCCTGAGCCCAAAACCCTGAACCCTACAATCTACAAATCTCCCTAAACCCTAAACCCTAAATCCTAAATCCTAAATCCTTAAAACCCTAAACCCACCTTCATTTGGGGTAGCCATGGCCCCGAGCAAGTGTGCATGTGCAGCCCACAGGACGTCCACCAATTTGAACCCTGGATGGCGGGGCTGAGAACTCCTTTCGTGTCCAGGAGTATCCCAAAAGAGGCTCAGGGTTTAGGGGTTTTGCGGGGTTTAGGGGCTTAGGAGGGGTGTAGGGTTTACGGGTTTAGGGGTTTAGGGGTTGAGGGGTTTAGGGGCTTGGGGTTTTGCGGGGTTTGGGGGTTTAGGGGTCTGGGGACCCCTACAGCGGTGAACCCTTGGGACTACTACCTCAAAAAGGAAAAAGGGTTAAAGGTTACCTACTCCACTGCCAAGGCTCTTGTCGCTGCAATCAGGCGTCTCCTCTAGGGATTTTACGGGAACCTTATTAGAAAATAGAACCTTAAACCCTAAACCCTAAAGGGTTTAGTTTAGGGTTAAGGGCGTAGGCTCTTTTAAGCGCTCTTCGAAGGGTTACTAGATGAAGGAGCCCGGCAGACTCCCCCGAACTAATATTTGTGTCGGCCCCTATAATCATGGTCCGGCGTCTGGGGTTAGGGTTTAAGGAGGTCTTGGGGGCTTAGCTTATAATTTCGGGGCTTTGGGCGGGAAGAACTGTTGTGTGTGAAATGCCAATGCTTGATTCATGACAACTGGATTCTCAGTTTTCAATTCTCCGAGAAGAGTGGTTGGCAGGGGCAAGTCGCAGGAAGGCAGACATATGGGGGTTTCCGAAAATAGGGGACCCTAAAACAAGTACACTAAATAGTAGGATCCTTATTCTGAGAACCCCAAAATAAGGTACCCCCTATTTTCGGAAACTCCCATATAAGGACCACAAGTCACCATGTGCAAAAGTTCAGGGTGAGGACTTGCGATTGCACCATTTCACGGTCCGAGAGTGCTTAGGGTTTCTATGTTTCTATCTTGGGTTTCGCGGGTTCCATCGCCTCCTGCGTGGGCTATCATCCACTTCCGGGTTGATGTCCACTGCGATTAGGAACAAGATCGAAGCCAGGACCAATCTGGATATCCAATAACTCCAAGCCCAGCACGGCTTGCGTTGCCCAGGCGACGTTCCGCCAATCTGCTTCTGTATCATGATCTGACGCTGGAAAACGTGCGGCGAATTCGAGAGCCTGTACAGCTAATTAGTAAGGTCCGGCTGAACCAAAAACCGAGCGACAACCGCTCAGCAACTGGCAAGTAAAGGTGTTGTAAACACCGGGGTTCCTCTCGCAGGTGCTTGGAAGAGGTATCCTCCGGTTGCTGCTTTGCCTGAAGTTTATACTAGTGCGGGTGTTGCACTTGTGCTGTCACAGAGCAAGAAACTGATGATGCGGCTGATGACGGTGACGATGATGGTGATGCCGATGATGATGGTGACGTTGTGGATGATGTTGTTGTTGATGATGATGGTAATGATGGTGATGATGGAATCATGATCATGATCATGGTCAAGATGCTGTGGTTCCAACATTCCTCATGTTGCTGCTGTTGTTGATGATGTTGCTGCTGATGGTATTGACGATGACAATCCCTGTGTTTGTGACTTCACCATGCTGGTGGTGATCGTCGTTGGCGCTGACGGTGCTTACGCTCATGATTGCACTCAAGATGATGATATGACGGATGAAACGGCAACAGAACCTTTTAATGACGATTATGACTATGATGGTGATGGTGATTACTACCACTGCTAAGACTGCCAAATGGCTACTGCCACACGCCATAGTCGCCGAAGCACCATCATCGTCTCCTTCGTAAGGAATGTATTCCAACATACCTTACTATACTATATTACAATACACTACAATATACATATATATATATACACATGTATATATGTATATATACCATGGAGTAGTCAGCATGTTTACCTGCATCATCAGCAAATTCAACACAATCTCCAGCGCTAACCTTCACCGCCCATACTCTCATTACTTTCGTGATCATAAACATCGTCGCCATCATCTCCGACAACATCACCATGGCAAAACTCCCGAACACGGCTAATAGGAAGCCCTAAACCCTGCAACCCTAATTACTAAACCCTAAACGCGTAAACCCCTGGGACCTAAACCCAGGAACCCCAAATCTGCACACCCCCAAACCCTAAACACTAAACCCTAAAAACCCTGAACCCCTGCCCTAAACCCTGTAACTAAACCTTAAAACCTAAAACCCTGAAGCCCTAAACCCTAAACCCTATAAAGCTGTGAACCCTAAACCCGCAACCCTAAGTCGCTGTCTTATCGTCACATCGGCAGACACAGGAGCCTCCCGGCGCTGCAGCGCCAGCGCTGCAGCGCTGGTGCGGCCAGGCATCGGCTTTCGGTTCAGGGTTTACAGGGTTTAGGGTGTAGGGGTTT